AAAAACTTTATCCAACAGGGCCGTGTCCTCTATTAAGAGATTCCCCATCAGGCCATCTTCAAATATCAAAATGTGGGAGCCAGAGTGCTGCTCAGGAAGTTGACTCAACCGACTTCCTGATTTTGCAGATGGGGTTCCTGAGGGCTGAGAGGCCTCATTTTACAAATGGGGTTTACAAATGAGGCCTGAGAGGAAGGCCACATGGCTGTGCCAGTCCCCAGCTGGGGTGCACACCCAGGGCTCCTGACTGCAGTGGTTTTTCTTTTCCTGTGTTTGACTGTCTTTGGTTACATCTTCGTTTTGGATTAGCTGGGCCATTTGTGGATGCAGCTGTAAAGGCAGGTTGCATTTTTGCAACTGTAGGTTCAAATGCATCCTAACATTGGAAAACTACACTTTATGTGAGTTGTTTTACCACCAGGAGGAAATCCAGATCTGGCCTGGCAGTGGCAAAGCCTCCTCCTCAGGGACCTCCTCTTAAAGGTACTATATTCTCCCCTGTGAAGATGGGGCAGTGGGGAGAGCGGAGGTGAAGCCAGGGAGATTGTGACCAAGGGCTACAGCTCTGAACCTGCAGAAGTGGCTTCCTCCCACCGAGCAGGTGACTCAGGCAAGTCCCTTGACGCCCCATGTCTTCATCTGTAACACAGAAAGATAATGCTCACCTAGGCAAACTATTTGCATCATCCCCCAAATAGTGGACATAAATGCCAATTCCCAGTGTAGAAGTCAGATTCAGGTATCCAGCTGCCTGAATGTGCATCCCAACTCTGCTATATAGTTTTACAGCCCTGTGCCAGCTACTTATAAATTCTCTTGGTCTCAGTTTCCTCATCTGTAGTATGGGGATAATAATAGTACCTATCTGATAGAGATGTAGTTACCAGAAGGATATCGTTCTCAAATTGTGTGCTTAGACACCTTAGGATGCTATAGCAAATTCACAGGGGTACTGTGGGCTATTTTTAATCTTCAAAGAAACACAGTGATACTGGACAGCTGCCAGATACTGCAACAACTACTAGCTCAAGATAGCTTACAATTTTAGCATCACATCACACTTCTTTCCTTTACATGGTACCTTGCCTTTGCAAAGCTGGGAATTTTGGCATTTGGGACTACCCCAAGGCAAACTATGAGGGCAGCAGTGTCCGCTATGACTCTAAGATTTGAGATATTGTGCCGTGTCCAACAGGCACACATACATCCTCATTATAAGTCAGTGTGGCTATTTAGAAATGGAATACTAATATTTTTTCTTTTAATTTATGAGTATTATTTTTTCTAATAGGCTTCTCAGGTGGCAGTAGTGGTCGAGAATCCGCCTGCCAATGCTACTAAGTTATTAGGAAATCACACCCGCACACAGACACGTAAGCTGGTTGGATTTAACTATTTAATAAACAGAACCATTGGGAATTTCTTTTGGCTCTGGGGTAAAATTACTGAGTAAAAATGACTAAAACACTGAAGACCAAAAACGTTTGGGAAGTTCTGTCTAGGACTGTTGAGGGGCTCAGTGAGTTAATTGAAAATACCTTCTAAAAGCCTCTGGTCAAGGAAGCACCCAGGAGCTCCAAGACTTTATTCTTCTTTTCCCTGTAAGCTGGAGAGGGCAGGCTCAGGCGGCCCTGGAGAAGCCTTCCTCAGCCACTAAGGGCCAACAAGCCCTTGGCCCAAACCAGGGCCAAGGAGGAGGGGATGTGTCCACTGGTCAGGACTGGGGCCCAACTCAACTGCTACCCGGGGCTGGCAGCACCCCCCACACACCTTTCATTTGTGTTCACCAAGCACCTACTATGTGCCGGTCAGCACCTAGTCTGCTAATGGGGCCCTTGGTTCTTCTTGCTTGTCTCCTGCAGGATGCCTGGGGGCTAGGGACCTTGACAAGTGGGCAGTGGCTGCATCGAGAGTCACTGGCACTGCCCTGAATGACGGGGAGGCAGTGATGAGAAAAGCCAGGCATCCTCCTGCCGAGACTGGAGCGGAGTCTTTGAGCCAGGGTTGAGAGGAGGGGTGGGGCAGGCAGGGCGGGGGCCCCGGGGCCGCCAGACTCAGGCCTGCTGCCCTAATGGACCTCTCATGTTTACTTTCCTTAGTCGAGTCTGCACCTGCTTTATAAATGAGCTGCATTAGGGTTATAAAACAAAGTCATAAATGCACCCCACAGTGCCACATAGAGCCAGGGTGCTGTCCCCTGGAGGCTGGGGGCTGCATGGTTAGAAGGTAGTGCAAGTCTGTAACTGCACCCATGAGCTGCCCTTGTGGCCACCATCCCCAGAGGGAGGCCCATTCCCCCAGTTTCACAGATGAGGCGCCTGAGGCCAGTAAGGACTGGTTGAGACCCAGGGGTGTCTGGGTCTGAAACCTGAGCCTTGTCCTACACTCCTCAGTCCCAAGACTGATGCAGGATGCTGTGACGGGAGGTGGGTGTAGAGTCCTCTCGGCTCCACCCTTCTGTCCCTGAACTGCCTGGCCTGGCGGGAGGGCCACAGTGAGCAGCTCTCAGGCCACAATGTCCAGCTCCCCAGGCACTGTGTCATCCCGTCATCAACTGCCCACACTCCTAGACCCTAGACTGCCAGTTACCTACAGAGAAGGTGTCTCCCTGTCTGGCAGAGGTAAGCAGGTGTCAGGGAGCTCTGGCCTGGTCTTAGGAATCCACAGTCTAGATGCCCACTAACCTAGTGACCATGCATTAGTTTGGATGGACTACAATTTCCCCAGCTTTGAAACAAGAAAAACAACTCCTCACCTTGCTAGCCCTTTGGTGTGCATGTGTGCATGCCCAGTTGCATCCGACTCTGTGCGACCTTATGGACTGTAGCCTACAAGGCTCCTCTGTCCATGAGTTTCTCCAGGCAAGAATACTGGAGTGGGTTGACATGCCTTCCTCCAGGGGATCTTCCTAACCTGGACATCAAACCTGTGACTCTGCATTACAAGTGGATTCTTTACCGCTGAGCCACTGGAGAAGCCCAGTCTTTCTGTAAGAGAGCGCCATAATTGTAGAGACCTGGCCAGTGTCAGGGTCTGTTAGGATTCTCAGGTGCGGGGACAGTCACAGTGTTATGAAGCTACTCCAGGGATAGGCAATGTGGAGGCCTGTTTGGGATAGGCATCATCCCAAACACTGAAGTCTGATTTCCTGGGTTCAAACCTTGGCTCTGCTTCTCACTAGCTGTGTGACCTTGGGCAGGTTGCTTAACTGCTCTGAACCTCAGCTTCCCCCATCAATAAACTGGGGACCAATATATCATACCTTATGAAGTTGTTGCAAGAATTCAGTAAGTTAACTGGGTAACTGAAAACAAAGCAGCTAATTCCAGGGAAGCATTCATTGCTATTTTGATGCAGCAACTTGTATTGGTGCTAGACCTCTCCTAGGTCTAGGCCCTCATGCACAGTTATCTCGCATGATCCTCAAAAGAGCCCAGAGAGAGGAAGTGTGTTCATTTGTCTGTTCACTTCAGAGACAGAGTAATGAGGTCAGAGTAATGAGACAGAGTAATGTGGGCTCTCCTTGGGTCACACAGAACACGCCAAATGGAGCTGGATTCCTCCTCCTCTTTGCTGCTTTCCCCTTCACTCCCCCAGGCCATGCACACACACCCCACCCAGGGCCCAGAGCTGAGAGCCAGTGACAACCTGTGCGTTTTCTCAGAGCCCACATCGTAGCAGGAGCTCATGGTCCTCCAGGAGATGATATGGCTTAGACATGTTGGGCAAATGTTGTTCATTCTGTTCTTGAAGAACTAGGTGTCCCTTTGGCACCTCTGCCCATAGGGGGACTCCCTAGAGTGTGTCCCACCCTTGGCCTTCTGGGACCCCAGCTGCACTTGAGGGACTGGAGCGCTGGACCAGGGACAGGCGTGCGGCAGGCTGGCGAGGGGCTAGGCAGACACACACCCTTGCAGCTTAATTCGCTGTTTCCTCGGGAGCAGTTAGCAGAGGAGGACAAGCCCCCCACCGCTTGTCCCCAGCCAACTGATTGTTTGGCGCTTGGCGCTGGAAAGTCAATTTTCCTAAGTGGATTGTAAACCAGTAGCCTGGCCTGGCCTGGTTTTCCTCCCTCCCCACGCTGGTTGTGGCCAGGCCCCTCTCCCTTCCTGTTTGTCTCACCTCCCGAGGTGCTGTTCTTTCCAGGCAGGCGGGCAGGGCCAGGGTTTCCATTTGGCCCCTTTCGGGGAGGAGATGGCTGCCGGCACAGCCTCACTGACTTCCCAGCCTCCCCGTGTCCTCATCCATAGGCCAAGGGTGTGGATTTGGCAGAAGGGGGTGGATCAGAGCCACAGACCAGAGGAGAGGAGGGGCTGGGGGGGAGGCTGCAGGGAACGTGGTCTGCCCCTCCACGTTGCTGCCTGCCCTGGACTTCCGGGAAGAGGAGGCACTCTGGGAACGAGCACTGGGGAGCCCAGCTTGGTGTTGCTACCTCACCTCACCCCTCCCCTTACCCCTGTGGGACCTGGCTCGTCTTCCCATGTCCATCAGCCTGCCTGGCTGGGGCTGCAAAGGGCAGCTGTGGCTTCGGGGCAGAGCTGGCTGGGTTTGCACTCCAGCCTCAGGCCTGTTTCCAGTTCTTCACATGCTGTGGCATCACCACGGGAAACTGGAGGGAGGCCCTGGAAGGCCAGTGCAGGGGATACTGGGGAGGACTGGAGAGGGGTGTCCTTGCCCTGATGGATTATCTCACCTCCCTGGGCTCCCCTGCCTCCTCCACCTGTAAAGTAGACTCGTATAGCATCATAGAGCTATTTGGGACTGGCTCCAAAATAAAAAACCCTAAAAGCAGGGCACAGTGGGGAAACTGAGGCCCCAGAAGTGCCAGACCTTGCCTAGGTCACAGCGGGCGTCCTGGCAGGTCTCCTCCAGCTGCCCTCCCCTCTGCCTCCCCCCACCTCTGCCTCCCCCCACCTCCTCTCTCTGTCACAGCCCCCAGGGGTTAGAAGGGACCTGGGACCTCCCACCCGTGGCCTCACAGAGCCCTCCACTCTCTACAGGCACTGACTCGGGCAGGGAAGAGCTCCCCGACTCCTTCCCATCGGCGCCGGCAGAGACGCTGCCCCACTTCCTGCAGGAGCCGCAGGACGCCTACATCGTGAAGAACAAACCTGTGGAGCTGGGCTGCCGTGCCTTCCCCGCCACGCAGATCTACTTCAAGTGCAACGGCGAGTGGGTCAGCCAGAGTGACCACGTCACCCAAGAGGGCCTGGACGAGGCCACCGGTGAGCCCGCGCCACCCCACCCCCACCCCTCACTGGCACCCCCGTCACTCGGAGCCCAGAGAGCTCTGGGCCTGGCCCCACACCGGCTCCCTGGGAGCCCTCACACGGCCATGGGCCCCCCAGGGCCTCGTTCCCCTCTGGGGCCCACCCTGGATGAGTGTCTTCCCCAGACTCGGCCTCCCACCCTGCCTGACTTTGGGTGGCCGGGTGAAACAGCACCACATTGCTTGCTGAGTGCTTGCTCCCTTCTCCAGTTTCTTTCCATCCTCTGCTTGCATCGGAGAGCAGGTCCAGTCCGGCACTCGGGTTCTTTCCCCCTCTCCCCAGCACCTGCTCTGCTCCCTGTTGAGAAAGAGGAGCTGGTCCTGTCTCACAGCCCTGCCCCCAGCCCCCAACCAGAATTCTCGACCAGGTCCTCTGGGTTTGTGAGAAGTGATGATAATGATGCAACATGTCATTCATAGAAATTAACTAGTTTAGGTTTTTAAGAAAACAAAATAGGTTAGGCACAGAGAGGCCTGGCAAGTGCAGTGGTGCAGGTATCCTTGGGTAAGAGTAGCAGGAAGTAAGAGAAGAAGAGAAAATTAAGAAGGAGATCAAGCCCTGAGCCTTTGGAGTGGGAGCACTGACTCCAAGACCATAGACTACCAGAGAACTAACCCTAGGGAGTATCAAACAGTGAGAACTCACACAAAAGAAACCACTTGAATACAAGACCAGGCATCACCAACCACCAGTAGCACCCTGTGCAGGATGCCAGGGCGCTAAACCACAAACAAAACAAAAATGCAAAGCCAATCATCAGCAGACAGGATTACCACCTCACTCAGCCTTGCCCATCAGAAGAAAAGCAAACAAACAAAAACTCAACATAAATCTCACCCTGTGCTAAGCTTATACAAACCATTGAAACAACCTTAGGAGGGCAGAAACCAAAAGGAAGAAAGAATTCAACCTTGAAGCCTGGGAAAAGGAGACCTCAAACACAAGAATTTTTAAAAAAATAATGAAAAGGCAGAGAAATACTACACAAATGAAGGAACAAATGAGAAACAGAGAAGTCCAAATAAATGAAGAGGAAATAGACAAAACTACAGTCATCAGGACAGTACGGTACTGGCACAAAAACAGAAATATAGACCAATGGAAATAAAAACAAAAGTAAACAAGTGGGACCTGATTAAACTTAAAAGCTTTTGCACAGCAAAGGAAGCTATAAACAAGGTGAAAAGACAACAGTCAGAATGGGAGAAAATAATAGCAAATGAAACGGCTGACAAAGGATTAATTTCCAAAATATACAAGCAACCCGTACAACTCAATGAAGAGGAAATAGGCAAAACTACAGTCATCAAGACAGTATGGTACTGGCACAAAAACAGAAATGTAAACCAATGGAACAAGATAGAAAGCCCAGAAATGAACCCATGCACCTATGGGTACCTTATTTTCGACAAAGGAGGCAAAAATATACAATGGGGCAGTTGTGTATTGCCCCATTCAAAGCAACCCAATCAAAAAGTGGGAAAAAGACCTAAACAGACATTTCTCCAAAGAAGACATACAGATGGCTAACAAACACATGAAAAGATGCTCAACATCGCTCATTATTAGAGAAATGCAAATCAAAGCTACAATGAGATATCACCTCACACCGGTCAGAATGGCCATCATCAAAAAGTCTACAAACAATAAATGCTGGAGAGGGTGTGGAGAAAAGGGAATGCTCTTGCACTGTTGGTGGGAATGTAAATTGATACAGTCACTATGGAAGATGGTATGGAGATTCCTTAAAAAACTAGGAATAAAAACACCATATGACCCAGCAATCCCACTCCTAGGCATGTACCTGAGGAAACCAAAATTGGAAAAAAACAAATGTATCCCATTGTTCATTGCAGCACTATTTACAACAGCTAGAACATGGAAGCAACCTAGATGTCCATCAACAGATGAATGGATAAAGAAGTTGTGGTACATATGCACAATGGAATATTACTCAGCCATACAAAGGAACACATTTGAGTCAGTTCTGATGAGGTGGATGATCTAGAACCTATTATACAAAGTGAAGTGAGTCAGAAAGAGAAAGATAAATATTGTATTCTAATGCATATAAACGGAATCTAGAAAAATGGTACTAAGGACTTATTTATAGGGCAGCAATGGAGAAACAGACATAAAGAAAAGACTTACGGACATGGGGAGAGGGGAGGAGAGGGTGAGATGTATGGAAAGAGTAACATGGAAACTTAATTATAATATGTAAAATAGATAGCCAACAGGAATTTGCTGCATGGCTCAGCAAACTCAAACAGGGGCTCTGTATCAACCTAGAGGGGTGGGATGGGGCGGGAGATGGGAGGGAGCTTCAAAAGGGAGGGGATATATGTATATCTATGGCTGATTCATGTTGACGTTCGACAGAAAAGAACAAAATTCTGTAAAGCAATTATCTTTCAATAAACAAAAGAAAAAAGCAGGTTAATAATACTAAGTAAATAACCATAGAGGTGGTGCTAAGATGTCACCTGAGTCCTGCAGGAAAGGAGGGTGACAGAAGTGTGGGAAATGAGGAGGAAGAGTGAGATGTGTGCGGTTCCCTGGGCAACCCCCACTCCGGGCAGGAGGCAGAGCCCCAGGCTCCTCTCATCTCACGAGTCCAGCCCCTGCTTACAGCACAGGACCCTTGGGGGTGGAAAGCCTTCCCCAGACTCAGGCCAGCAAGGGGGGCCGTCCACTCTGGTCACCATGGGTGGCCAGGTTATGCAACCCCAGCCAAGCCCAGCCTTCAGGTGGTCCCTTCACCCCAGATCCTGCCTTGTCTTTGATTTCATTTTTAACCTCTCTTCCCTGATCTTTTCTTTCTCCTCCTTATTCATCCCATCCCTCCTTCCTTCTGTCTCTTCTGCCTCTCCCTTCTCATCCCTGTCTCCTTTTGTGTCTGCCTTTTCTTCTTTTTTCTTTTAATTCACTTTTATTGGAGTATAGTTGCTTTATAATGTTGTGTTATTATCTACTGTACAGCAAAGTGAGTCAGTTATATGTATACATACATCCCCTCTTTTTTGGATTTCCTTCCCATTTAGGTCACCACAGGACAGTGAGTACAGTTCCCTGAACTATACTGTAGATTCTCATTAGTTCCATATTTTATACATTGTCTTTTTTCTTTATGTCTCTCTCTTTTTTGTATCTCTCTCTTTTTCATTCTTGTGTCTCTCCCCTGACATACTCTCTTTCATTCTCTCTCCTTCTTCAACTTCTATTTCTCTATGAAAAGCTGACAGACTTCAGAACATTCAGGCTTAAAATCATACCCCAGAATGTACTTCATGCCACTCAACACTATATCCTAAAAATGGGTCAAAATGGAAAGTTGTAGCTTATGTATATTTTACCAAAATTTTTTAAAGAATCTCAAAAATTTACAAAGTTTGATTTGGAATCCCATTCTCACCCAAAATCTTAAAATTAAAAGAAGAACTTTTAAAAGGGAAAAATAACCTGTATCCCAGCTGCCTCCCTGCTCTGGCTGTGTGACCCTGAGGTAGTCATTCAACCTCTCTGTGCCTCAGTTCCTCTCCTTATAAACTGAGATGTTACCAGAAGGTCCTCGTGAGGATGGAACAAGGTGGTGCCAGCACAGCATTGAGCACACTGCTGGGACTCAGCAGGTGCTTAATAAATGCCCATTTCCTCCATCTTCCTTCTGGGCTTTTTTCTTTTGGCCTCTTTCCTCTGGAAACTTTTGTTACTTCTGTGTCCCCCTGACCCCCTCTGGCCCTGAAGAGCAAGGAGACAGCACATCCTGCTGGGGCTCCTTACAGACCCTGTGACTACTGGTAACAGGGTGCCTCTTACTCCCCTGCTACCAGGCACACAAGCCCTGCCCATCCTAGAAGTCAAGGCACTGTTGTCCCCATTAGCTACAAAGAATGGACAATGGTCCAGCAGGCCCCACCCTTGGCAGCATTGTGGCTGGTTCCTCCTGCTCCCACCCCAAGCCCTCCCTAGCCCTCTCTGAAGCCCTGGAAACACAGAGGATAACAGAGGAGGCCAGCAGAGGCAGGGCAAGCCCACTCATTAGCTCATGCCAGATCGAGGCAGGCAGCCCAACCCTGGGCGTCCTGGTCAGGCACTGCCTGTCATGCTGGGGGACACCTCGTCTGGGGCCCAAGTCCAGAAGGCTGAAGGTCCCTGGCCTCCTGTCTGCCTGCTGGTAACCACTGCCAAGGTGTCAAGCCCTACTGGGTGGCGGTTTGTCTGTCTAATTCTTGGGTGCGCCTGAAACCTTCTGGATGGATGGCCCCCTTGAGAGAGGCCATTCCTCCAGGCTCCTAGCCTGGTAAGTAAAGGGCGGGGCCCCACTCTTCTACCCCAGATCATGCAGTATCTCTTGGGAGCAAGCACTCCAGGCAGCCACTGCTGCCTGTGGGCCAGGCACCCCCACCCCAAAACCTTCTGCAAGAAGCCTCTTCCCTCCTGGTGCTCCCTTCTAATAAACTCCCAGCCCCAACCCCCAATTTAGATCCCCTGCCATCAGGAGGGGATTCCTTACTGCCTCAGCTCCCAGTGTAAGGGCCCCCTCCCTTAGGATGCAGGAGAGTTAAGGCAATGATTTCATTGGGAGAGGTCCAGAGAGGTGTCATTTATTACCGGGCAGAGCTCTAACTGGGGCAAGATGCCTAGTAGCTGACCTCAGCTTTGCTGGCAATTTGCTGTGGGACTTTGGGCCTGCCACCTACCATCTCTGAGTTTCAATTTCTCCCTAGAATTGAATGAGATCCACATGAGCTGCCAGAGTAGATGTGTGTCCAGCCTGGTCTGGGTACTATAATTGCCATGACTCATTTAGAATTTACCTTGAGTGTTTTACTCTGATGAGGGAACCAAGGCTCAGAGAGGCTAAGTATCAATAACTTAGCTAAGGTCACATAGATGGGGAGTGAGGGTGGGGCTAGGATTCAAACCTGTCAAGAACCTGTCCAGTCCTCCACCTAACCACCATGCCATAGTACCACAAGGTGTACACTCAGCATTCCTGCCCTTGAGGGGCTTATCAGAACCCACATGCAACCAGGAGAGGACGAACTGAGATACCTGATGTCAAGGAGGAGAGACAGGGCAGTCAGGGAGGGCTTCCTGGAAGAGGCAGTCTCAGTTCTATCACAAGCTTTGGGAGGAGCTTCAGATGGACACCCTCATCCAGGAGGCTTCATCCCTTACTTGAACACTTTGTCATTGAGGGAGCAATGACAAAAGAGTAAATGATTCCTTTTGTGTGTGCTGGTGGCCCCAGTTATCCAGGGAACCCCTCGGGCCCCAACAGGGAGCCATTGAGAGGTTGGAGGGTTCCCAGGAAAAGGGGCCTCCTCTTAGTTTCAACCCCACAGGCTCCTGAGCCATGACCAGAGAGAGACCACATGCTTACCTAATATTCGTTGAGCTCACTGACTGTCCTAGGCCCTGGGCCACAGCAGTGAACAGGACAAAGCCCCACCTCATTCTCCTGCAGGAGATTCAGTTAATACATGAACATGTCAATAAATGATACAGTTTCAGACCATGGTTAGTGTCATGAGGGAATCGGGGTGGGTGGAAATGACAGCTGCACAGACCAGTGTCCAGTGCACCCATGGGAGTGCTGAGTGGTACTTTGAGAGCTGGTGGGGGTGGGCCAGCATTGAGGGGCTTCCCTCCGAAGTGAGACCTCGCCCAAAGCGGATGGTGACTGGGAATTCACTGGACACAGAAAGGACAGAAGAGTCGTCCCAGGCAAGGGATTGGATGTGCAAAGGCCCTGTGACTAGAGAGGCTGGGGGAACATGAGGGCCTCAAAGATGCCCACTGAGGCTGCAGTGGATATATCTTACAGGGCCTGGAGGCCACATGGAGGGTCTGGGTCTTTACACTGGGATGACAGGGACATAACAGGGGAATGGCATGCCACTTGTACCTTTCAAAGAGCACACACTGTCTGCTGGGTGGAAAGTGGATTGAATGAGGGCAGAGGGCTTGGGTTAGCCACTGTGGTTTCCAGGTGAGCTGCAGTGGTGGCTTGGGCCAGGCTCGAAGCAGAAGAGATGAGAAAAATGGAAACAGAAGGCAGTGGGAGAGGAACCCCCAGGTGAAAAGGAGTGAGATATCATGGTCCCACATCCCGGGTCTCCTGTCCTCAGACCTGCCCCCCCATCAGTGGCATCTCTCTCCTCCTCCCAGGCCTGCAGGTGCGAGAGGTGCAGATCGAGGTGTCGCGGCAGCAGGTGGAGGAGCTGTTCGGGCTGGAGGATTACTGGTGCCAGTGCGTAGCCTGGAGCTCTGCGGGCACCACCAAGAGCCGCCGGGCCTATGTCCGCATCGCATGTACGCTGCCCGGACACCCCAACCCCGTCCCCTTGGGCCCTTTCCCCTTCCCCCATGGATCCTGGAAAGAGAGTTCTACACACAGACATGAGGGCACAGGGGCCACCAGCTCAGAAGGTGGCTCCAAGACCCAGAGCCTGTGCCACCTTTGGTGCCAGAATTTCTAATGGCCCTTTTTTGCCTACTTATTTATATAAAAAAGCCATCAGCTTCCCTAGTCATCATGTGCAGAGGATCCCAGAGTTAGGGAGGGAACTTTGTACCCCTAAGTCCACCTGGTAAGGCCCCCATCTTGGAGGAGAGATTCCCCTGGTAAGGTCCAGGAGTCCTGGTGAGATTTCCTTGGTGTCCACTGCCACCTCGTGGCTAAAATGGGGCACTTCAGGATTCAGCTCTGCCTGACTGGCCTCCTCCCTGCCCTGGCCTGACGGTGCTGTGGAACCCTTTCCCTTCTCCCAGATCTGCGCAAGAACTTTGATCAGGAGCCTTTGGGCAAGGAAGTGCCCCTGGACCATGAAGTTCTCCTGCAGTGCCGCCCACCGGAGGGGGTGCCTGTGGCTGAGGTGAGTGAGGACATGGGAAATACTGGGCATGGCAGAGGCCACCCAGGTATGGTATTTACCACCAGCCACGGTAACTCAGCCTCCCAGAGCCCTTCCGTTTCACAGACAGAGGAAAGAACTGCCATCTCTTTAGAACTCGGCACATCCCAGATCCCAGCTGGGCCCTCCACAGGCATAATCTCACCTCATGGATGGGGCAGAACTGGGGAAGGATCCCCCAGGACTCCTTGGGCTGACCCCAGGCTTGGTCTCCTGCAAGGGAAGTGGCTGCACACACTGTCTCCCAGAACCCAAGAACCCAGCTTTATGGACACCAAAGAGTCTCACAATGCGTGTGTCTGAGTTCATCACACCTGGTACCACATGTGCATCCCTGGGTGATGCCCACCTGTCCCCTCACCGCCCTACTTGTATTCCAGACCTGCTTCCTCTCTCCCACTGCCCGCACTGGTGGTCCTGGAGTCAGAGCAGGGCATGGGGAAACATCTAAGCTTTGCTGCTAGCGACCTCAGTAGCACAGGGTTGGGGAAGATGGGCCCATGGGCTTCCAGCTCAGGATCAGACATCAGAATCTTGGGCTCTAATCACTCCCCCCAGCCCAGGCCACCATCTGGAAATGAGCTCAGACACCCCTCATGACAGGTACCCTCGTGGGGCTCCCACATGTGCCCAGCACCTGGCACAGTGGTCCTCATAGCAACCCATGTCATCCCATCTTAAGGCTGGGAACGCAGCACTGGGCCGGGGAAGTGATCAACCAGGGTCACCCAGCTTGTGAGTAGCGGAGCTGGGATCTGCACACCCAGGTCTGCCAAAACGAGGACCATGTTTTTGATCACCTGCCAGGCCTCTTACCCTGACTGAGGGAGTCCGTTTACAGAGTTAATGATGAAGACATGCATTTATTTAGTACTTACTGTGAGCCAGGCATGTGCTCCACACTTTCTATAATACAGACTCCTTTCATCCTCGCAGGAGCCTTTGGATAGTGCTATTGAATATTCACTTACAGTTGATGAAACCGGGGCTCAGTGGAAGTCCCTTCCCAAGGCCGCCAGCTGGTGGGTGGTTGTCTTCACCACTGTGTTCTGCAGTGTCCAGCACAGTGCCTGGCCTGTAGAGGCCCTGCATCCTGGGTCACCACCAAGGTTGGACATGGATAGAACTGCTGTCCTGTTTAGTTCGGGCCTTCCCCACCTACTCCCTGCAGAGAGGGCACACTCTCCGAGGTGCAGGGATCAGGCACTGGGCCCTGACACCCCCAACCCCTCCCCTGCAGGTTGAATGGCTCAAGAACGAGGACGTCATCGACCCCACCCAGGACACCAACTTCCTGCTCACCATCGACCACAACCTCATCATCCGCCAGGCCCGCCTGTCGGATACGGCCAACTACACCTGTGTGGCCAAGAACATGGTGGCCAAGCGCCGCAGCACCACGGCCACCGTCATTGTATACGGTGCGGCCCTGAGCGGGCGGTGGTGGGCGCACATGCTGGAGGTGGGCGGGAGCCTGGGGCTGTACAGCCCACCTGACCCTGTCCTACCCAAAGGCCAGCAGGACCCTAGTGAACAGGTGGGGAGGAGGAGGCCCAAGAGGAGAGGTAGCTTCTCCAGGGTCACACAGCAAATTTAGTGGTGAGGTCAGGCACTCCTGGGCCCCCAGCCAGGAGCACTCGCCCCTTCTCAAGCCCTTTGCTTATCCCCGAAGAAGACCCAGTTCTCTGGGAGTCAGGGCTGAGGCAGGGCCCACTTGGGAGCCCCATCCCCAAGCCCATTGTTCTAGCAGAGTTTGGGACTGCTGCTCGGGCCCCTCAGCAATTCCTTGCCGTCCCCTTGGGTGGGAGGGCGGAGTCATGGCTGAGATGAGTGTTGTAGGTAGAACCCTGTACTTGGTTCCAGTTATAGACACCCACCTCCATTCCTCACGGGGAGACCCTGGGTGCCAGCCCTCTCTGGACCTCTACTTGCCATTGTACAGAAAGGCAGGGAGTTATTGGGTCCCCTCTGGTGCTGAATGCAACCCAGGTCTGCCTGCCGGTATCTGAGTCCCCAGCCTTGAAGGCAGAAGTCGTCCAACTTGGGAGGGCCAGTCCTCAGCAGAGGGGCCTCCTCAGGGCTGTGGGATGGGGCCTGGGGGGCCCTCAGGGTGAAGAGCCAGGCCAACTGGGTGACACCTACTACCCTCACAGTGAACGGTGGCTGGTCCAGCTGGGCAGAGTGGTCGCCTTGCTCTAACCGCTGTGGCCGCGGCTGGCAGAAGCGCACGCGGACCTGCACCAACCCTGCCCCCCTCAACGGAGGCGCCTTCTGCGAGGGCCAGGCCTTCCAGAAGACTGCCTGCACCACCGTGTGCCCAGGTAAGGCCACAAGCTAGGTGGCACCGCACCCGCGCCCAGCCCTGCCTCCTGTGCTATGCAGTCACAGAGCCAGGACCACTGACTTCTCTCCTTCTGGGCTTGTCCTGGGGCCCACAGCTGTCTGACCCTGCTGGACCAGATGCTGTGGCCTCTGACCTCTTGTTCCGCCCTGTGCTATGGGAGAGACGGAGGCAGAGGCTCTTGGGGTTAGGCTCTCTGCCCCCCAGGCTGGGGTTTCTCCGTGTCGGCCCCCAGGCCAGGGTCCCAGAGGCGCCCAGAGTCAGAGTGCCTGTCCCTTGACTGCTCAGCACACCTGGCCCCTGACCGCTGTCTTGCTGCCGTCCTCTTTTCCTCGTGTCTTATCCTGTATCCCCATCGGTTGGTCTGTGTTCTCTCCCCCTCTGGTGACGTGTTTTGTTTTTCACCCTGGGTTTGTGCCTGTGTGTGAACCCTTGTGCTGAGTCTGCGTCGATGATCTTACACGCGTGTCTGGAGCTATCTTTGCCCCCCGTGCTCCTCTGACTCTCGTCTGGCCCGCGGCGCGGATTGCTCTGGCCGGCCTGTGTGTGTCCCGGGTCCCTCTTGCCCCGCTGCACTCCGTGTGTGCGTGCACTGCTGTGCTGGGCACATGAAACCATGTGTGCAGGCAGCTGTGCGTGCCTGGGTCCCCACAAACCACATGCTGTGTCCCCACAGTTGACGGCGGGTGGACTGAGTGGAGCAAGTGGTCGGCCTGTAGCACCGAGTGTGCGCACTGGCGCAGCCGTGAATGCATGGCACCCCCGCCCCAGAACGGAGGCCGGGACTGCAGCGGGACCCTGCTCGACTCCAAGAACTGCACTGACGGGCTGTGCGTGCAAAGTGAGTCTTCAGAGGGCGGGGCCCAGGGTGGGGGCTCTGGAGCCAGAGAGGCCCCCTGCCTGGCCTGCAGGGCCGCAGACCTGCCCGCCCACATGCTGTCGTCTCACCCACGCATCTCCCCATCACCCTCGCTACCACCTGCTCCCTGTCATCCGTGTCATTGTCTTTCTTTCCTTATTTCCCTCGACAGATAAGAAAACTCTAAGTGACCCCAAAAGCCACCGTAAGTCCCATTTCATGGCTATCCTCTTTCCTCTGGGGGGGACCCCTGGTTTTCCTTGGCCGGTTTTTTCAAGGGGTGGAGTGCAGGGCAGGACAAGGGGCAGGGAGCGTTGAAGGTGCTCCCTACAAGCTCTGTGGGGCTCCCCACGCCCAACACTGCATGTGGCATGGTCTCCATCACAGTCAGGCAGGCAGACCCTCAGCTGAAAGAAGGGCCCCCAGACACTATCTTGACCTTCCCATTATAGGAGAAGAAACTGATTCTCAGAGAGAAGGGACTTACCCAAGGATCCAGTTAGGATTGGAACCTAAATGTTTGGCCAGAGCTTCTGCTCCTAGCCCCAGACCCCAGTTTTCCTCTGTGGGATGGGGCCAGCAGGCAGGCTCACACCTACCCCTCCCAGTGCCTCTCACTGTTCCCCCCAGCAGCCGACTGACACCTCCTAGGGCCCTGGGACACCCGCTGCCCTGCGTCAGCCCCCAGGGGCTGTGCTGCGCTGCAGTAAAGCCGCTTGGGCAGATTGGCCTGTGGTAATTAAGCCACAATTTCCAAATAATTCCAGAATTATAAATTCAGTGGTGAGGCCCTGAATGCAGTTCACAGCGGGGACAGACTGGTGAATGATTAGATATTGTAAATCACCAGGCAAGTGACCACCCCCCATGACGTGGTGAGGCAGAGCCCCCAGAGAGATGGGAGCCCAGCCCTGGGGACCTGCTCTGGCAGCTCTCCGGGGGGAGCCCAAGAATGAGGGGAGATGGAGGTCTGGCAGGTGGTGGAATCAGGCAAACCTCAGGGCTGAGGGCCCCGCCCTACCTTGCTGAAGCTCAGGCCTCCCCCCAGTTCGGGCAGGAAAGCCAGCCTCCCTCTCTGAGGGCCCCTAGGGGCTGGGGGAGAGTAGACAGGGGCTTCCCCGAGCTCCCAGAGGAAATGGGGGGCAGGGGAGGGTCAGCCGTCTTGGCTCTGCTGCACTGTCCAGTGTAGTAGCTGCTAGACATGTGTGGCTTGAAAATTATATTTATCTTAGCTGAAAATAAATATGCCTAAAAACTCTTTTCCTCAGCCAAGCCAGCCACATTTTAGTTGTTTAATAACCGCACGTGGCTGGCAGCTATCATGGGAAACAGTGTAGACATGGGATACGCCATCATCCTAGAAAGTTCTATTGGACGGAACACCTCTCTGCCTGGCTGCCTGCTGTTGCTTCTAGCGGTGCAGCAGTCTGCCCTGCACACTGTCCAGAGCAGGGTATCCTCAGCTTAGCAGCCTGTCTGGGTTGGGAGTATAACCTGGGGTTGCCTCCCTGAGCCCCTTCCTTCCCTTCCAGCTCTCCCTTCCCTTCCCTCCTCTCCATCCATCACCATGCATCTCATTCTCCTCCTCCTGCTTCCCCTCCCGCTCCTGCCCTCAGTCCAGAATGGAAGTGAGCTTAGAGGGCTACTTGCAGAGATTTCTGGGAACCAGGACCTTGGGTCCTACGGAGATTGCTGCAGGCTGCAAGTGAGGCCCTGGGTTTACTCCCACCTTGGACAGGACACTCTGTGGCCCCCTGACTTTGAGCCACAGGCCCTGTCACCTCCTGAGCAGAGAGCAGTGACTTCAACTTCACTCTTGGGAGTGTCCACTCCAGGAGTGCCTGTTCCTCTCCTTAACTACACTGGGAAGGAAGCAGAGAATGGGGGCAGGGGCATTTAGAGCGTTTTACTTATAGAGACTGATGCTCATGAGAGTTTCAAGGCTTGCCTGAGGTCACCAGCCTGTCTGGCGGGGCTCAGATTTAAACCTAGGACAGTGCCAGTCTGGCCCAGGCCCTGCCTCTCCCAGGGGACCAAGGGAATGTCTGGCTCCCCCAAGGCCTGGGTCTCTGCCCCCTGCCCCTCACTCGGCCCTCCTGTCCCCACAGTCCTGGAGACCTCGGGGGACGTGGCGCTGTATGCAGGCCTTGTGGTGTCCGTCTTCGTGGTGGTGGTTGTCCTTATAGTGGTGGCGGTGGTAGTGTACCGCCGCAACTGCCGGGACTTTGACACCGACATCACCGACTCGTCCGCCGCCCTCACCGGCGGCTTCCACCCAGTCAACTTCAAGACTGCAAGGCCCAGTAAGGACCTGGGAACACCTGGGGTGGTGGGTGAGGGCAGGGTTCTCAATGGGCTTGGCAGCCAGACCAGCCAGACCAGAGCACAGGTGCCTGAGTCCCTCCTGAGGTTTCTGTAGAGTTTTTTTTTAATAAAGATCACTGGACAAGTATGGATGAGAGCGATGCAGGAAAGAGAAGAACTCACTCAGGTGGCAAGTCCCTAAGCTTCCTGCCTCAGTTGGCAATGGAACCTTTCAGAGCTGGAATTTGGATGGGATTTTGTAAAAGAAGGGCCCCCAACAGTAGCAGAGGGTGGGATGGGGCCAGGGAGGCACTGCAGGCTGAGTCTGACTGCAGCCCTGCCCTGCAGACAACCCACAGCTCCTGCACCCATCCGTGCCTCCTGACCTCACTGCCAGCGCCAGCATCTACCGCGGGCCAAAGTACACCCTGCAGGACTCAGCCGACAAGATCCCCATGACCAACTCGCCGCTGCTGGACCCGCTGCCCAACCTCAAGATCAAGGTCTACAGCTCCGGCACCACCAGCTCTGGGCCAGGCCTGGCAGACGGGGCCGACCTGCTGGGAGTCCTGCCGCCTGGCACGTACCCTGGTGATTTTGCCCGGGACACCCACTTCCTGCACCTGCGCAGTGCCAGCCTCGGCTCCCAGCAGCTCCTGGGCCTGCCCCGTGACCCGGGGAGCGGTGTCAGTGACACCTTTGGCTGCCTGGGTGGGAGGCTCAGCATCCCCGGCACAGGTGGGTCCCTGCTCTCCTTGCCCGTTAGCCTGGCCTCGGCATGTTCCCCTCTAGACAGTCTAACACTCACCCAGCTGAAAATAGGACTTCCTGGTCCCATTTTAGAGGCATGGAAAGTGAGGCCCAAGGGGATAAAGTGATGATAAAATGAAAACCTGGGGTCCAGGCCTGCCTCTGCCTCGCTGGGGAGGGGAATTCTCTAAACCTCAATTTCACTATCTAGTGAGTGGGAAAGAATACTGCCGTGTAGTCAACAAACCCACAGGATGCTGTTAAAAAGACAGAGCTGCCAGCTCAGGTTGCATAGCCAGCAGTTGACAGTTTCCTAGTGTCATACCCTGAGCTAGGCTGGGGCTGGAACCACCCCTTCAGCCTCCCGGACTTTGGCCTATCTCTATATCCCATTGCAATGCCTCCTCTGTGCGGTCCCTCTGGACAGACCCCCTGCGGTCAGTGACCTGGCCTTTCCTGGCACCCAACCACTCTCCCCATGCCTTGCTGGTGACCACCAGGATCTCAGAAAATGTCTTTCTCTCCCTATTCCAAGCTGGAGGCCAAATCCCCATACCCTGTGCTAAGCTCCTGGACCCCTTCTAGCCCCTCCCTACTAACCTCTCCCTCCCCCTAGGGGTCAGCCTGCTGGTGCCCAATGGAGCCATCCCCCAGGGCAAGTTCTACGAGATGTACCTCATCATCAACAAGGCAGAAAACACCCTGTGAGTAGAGAGACCCAGCCCCAGCCTGGCTGTCCCCTGCTTGGCCTGTCTCCCTGCTGCTTGCCCACCTTGGGCTCAAGTATATCCCCTTCTAAGCCCAGTGCCAAGACCAGAGATAGTTCTCCAAGGAAGACATTGCTTGATATTTTTTCCCATTTAAGTTATACAAAACCAGCTCAACAAATCATAAAACTGAAAGCCAGATGACCAGCTGGCTACAATATAACAAAGAGCTAATATCCTAACTATGTGAAGAGGTTTGGGAGACCAGTAAGAAAAACTGAACATCTCAGTACAAAAATGGGCAAAGGATATGAACAAGTGATTCACACACACACTATCATACATACAGATGCATGCACACACACACACACACACAGAGTGGCCAGTAGGTTATAACAAAATGTTCGACATAATCTGTAATCAAAGAAATAGTAAAAGAGCTATGAGGCGCTGGAAGTTTCTCTGCTCATGAATTTGCAAAGATATTTTCAAATGTCATAGTACCTTCATACTGGCAAGAGTGTGGGAACACAGCCCTCCCATGGCACGTTGGTGGGAGTGTGGATGGGTAGTAGTTTTCCAGAGGGCCTTTTAATAGTACCTATCCACAGCATCTGCAGAGTGCAGAACCTTTGAAAATAGGAGCTAAAAAGATTTGGCTATGAGAATATTGCAATGTAATAGCAAAAATCTAGAAATAGTCTCAAGGCCTGTGCCATTTTTCCTTAACTCTGGGAGCCCCAGGGGTACAGAGCTGCCTTCTCTCACCCCAGCAGCCAGGGCAAGGGGGAGCCCAGCCCCACTTCCTCATTGCCTCCCGCTTACCCTCCACCCTGCCCCAGCCCGCTTTCAGAAGGGACCCAGACAGTATTGAGCCCCGCAGTGACCTGCGGGCCCACAGGCCTCCTGCTATGCCGCCCCGTCATCCTCACGGTGCCCCACTGCGCAGAAGTCAGTACTGGCAACTGGATTTTCCAGCTCAAGACCCAGGCCCACCAGGGCCATTGGGAGGTGAGGAGGCAAGGCTGGGGGGCCTTGGGATCTGAAAGCCCCTTTCGTCCTAGCCCAACCTGGATGGACCCCCTCCAGGTCCTTGGCTGACCTGGCCACCTCACCCCCATCCCCCATGACCCTATAGGAAGTGGTGACCCTGGACGAGGAGACCCTGAACACCCCCTGCTACTGCCAGCTGGAGGCCAGGTCCTGCCACATCCTGCTGGACCAGCTGGGTACCTACGTGTTCACGGGTGAGTCTTACTCCCGCTCAGCAGTCAAGCGGCTCCAGCTGGCCATCTTTGCCCCAGCCCTCTGCACCTCCCTGGAGTACAGCCTCAGAGTCTACTGCCTGGAGGACACGCCCGTAGCGCTGAAGGTAAGGCCAGACCGTGGACGCCCGCACAGGCCCGCACACTGTGGGTGCCTCACCCACAATCAGCCCACTGCATGGTACCTTCCAGTACTCCCTCCCTGGGATCATGGCACCTGCCAGGCACCCTCTGCCACCATCAGCCTCATCCAGTCATTCCTTCATTCCTCAAACATTGAAGTGGCATCCGACCCTCGCGATACAGAGATGAGTCGGGCACAGTTCTTCCCTCTCCTAGCTGCGGGCTAGAGGTGGAAACAGACCTGAGGATAGCTGATGCGGGGCTGAGGGAGCTTCAGCCTGGGGATGTGGGCTGGCAGGGCTTGGTTGATGGGGAGGGCGTCTGAGAAGTCTTCACAGCCTTCTCAGAGCTGACCTTAGCCCTAAGCTCCCGAGGACAGGTGGGAGCTCCAGGCAGAGAAGGGAGTAGGGCATTCCAGCAGACAGCAGTTTACGCAGAGGCAGATGTGGTGTTCTGTGTGCCGAAGCGTGCTGCGGTATGAGAGGCGGGGCTCGAGAGATGGCAGGGCTCAGCCTCCCAACAGCCTTGGGGTCATGCCAAGGAATTTGGAAGCCATCCAGTGGGTGGGGGCAGAGACCTGGTGGACACCTATTCACAGGTGCTCTCTTGAAAGCTACTCTGTGGGGGTGGATAAACAAAAGACTGGGAGGCTGCAGCCAGACCTTGAGCTGGACCCTGGACAACAGTCAGGCAAGGAGACTGAACTCTGTTTAGTTAGTAGAATGGACAGAAGCAGTGACCAATGGAAAGAGTAAGGGGAGGAAGGGTCAGGACTGACAGCCAAGCTCCTAGTGTGTGCAGAACAGTGGATCATGCCCCTAAGTGAGGGGGGCCATGGCAGATCAGGAGGGGTTCAGGGCACGTAGAGAGAGAAGGATTTTAGCACCTAAAACCTGGTAACAGAAGGTGTTAGTACCTCCCTGTCTCCCTAGCCACTAAGACCCTGTCCATTCTCTGCCCACCCTCCCACCGGTTCCCAGGACCTCAGTCTCATCCTGACAAACAGTGGGAGAGCACACACCCTTGGCCCTGTTTAAACCCATTTTGCTTTTCCATCTTTCCATCTCCCGTCTCTCTGAATCCTCCTCCTTTCCTGTGGCTCCAGGAAAGGGCTCCTGTGGCTTCTTCCACCCATGGTCTGTGGGCTCTTCTAGCTCCTTTGCTTCCTGGTCTCATGTGACTTGTCTCAGGCTCCAAGTTGCTGACTGATGCAACACAGGTGAAAAGGCCTCATGGGAGAGAGTCTCCTCCTGAGACCAGGCTGACCTGAAATTCCAGGAGCCCCATAATGGGTTAGAGGCTCTGGGAAGGTGTTTTTGCAGCCTGGATCTCTTGGTTCTAGGGCACTGGCTAACATCTAGTTATGGTCAGAGAATGGAATGGAGATCAAGAGGGAAGTTGACACATATTGGTTTGATGTCATTCTTTGTTTATTCAACCTCTGTCCATCTATCCAGTCATCCAGCCATTACTCACCTGTCCATTTATCTTTTCTTCCATCTGTCTTTCTGTTTACACACCCATCTGTTTGTATTTTCATCTACACATCATTTTGTCTGTCTGTATCTATCCACCCATCTATTTGTCAGCCCGTCTATTGAGCCATCCATGTATCTGTTTGGTCATCTATAAATCCATTCATCCATCCACTTGTCCCACTCTCTGTCCATTCATTAATCCATTTTTTCTGTCTATCCATCCATGCATCCACCCACACAGTAAGTTTTCTTTGAGCACTTACCAAATGTCCAGTCCTGTGGCTCAGATGGGCCCCTGCTCTCAATGTTACAGCCTGGTTCCCTCTGCCCACATGTGTCTCCAAGTCTCAAACCTGCAACAAGAAAGAGCCTGCTGGCCTAGTGTGATAGGCGCCCCTTTCTCATTGCTCCCTGGCCCACAGGAGGTGCTGGAGCTGGAACGGACCCTGGGTGGCTACCTAGTGGAGGAGCCAAAACCCTTGCTGTTTAAGGACAGTTACCATAACCTGCGCCTCTCCCTCCACGACATCCCCCATGCCCACTGGAGGAGCAAGCTGCTGGCCAAGTACCAGGTGAGGGCTGGGCCAAAGGAGGGAGGAGGGTGGAGCTGGGGCAGGGGCTGCCCAGAGAAGGCCAATCCCTCCTCCCCACCTTCCCTCTCCATCCTGCAGCCTCGGTCCCCACACCCACGCCTGTGTCTCTCTTTCTCCCCCTGTACCCTGGTCATACACTCCCACACACAGTCTGTATACATCATCTTTAAAGAGGTCCTACCATCTCTAAGAGCATTCATACCTGCCAGATTGTCCAGACTAATCTCTGATGGTCACATCCCTCTGCCCGCGCCCATCTGTGTGAAATTATTGAGTCCACAAGGCTTCCCAGTCCCACAGTCTCACACACACATACGTACACACACACACGCGCGCGTGCACACACACACACACACACACACAGAGCGACATATATTCAAACTCGTGCCTTCTTGCCCACATACTCCCTTTCTCAGTTGGAGGGCCCTTGCCCAGCTCTTCTTCCTCTGCCTGCCTGGATGAGAAAGTCCTAGCCCTTCCTGAGGCTGGGCCCCTTCCCTGCCTGTGCCTCCATTCCCTGAGGGCAGGGCCAGCTGGCCTCACCTCCTTAACCCTGCCTGCCTCCCCCAGGAGATCCCCTTCTATCACATTTGGAGTGGCAGCCAGAAGGCCCTGCACTGCACCTTCACGCTGGAGAGGCACAGCCTGGCCTCCACGGAGCTCACCTGCAAGATCTGCGTGCGGCAGGTGGAGGGGGAGGGCCAGATATTCCAGCTTCATACCACTCTGGCAGAGGTGAGGGCCAGAGCGCGGACACCCCGTGGGGCTGGGCACTGCAGGGTACAGACCCAAGGCTCCCCCTCATTCGGGGGAAGGGCCACCTCCCACAGAACTGTGCCCTCACCTCCCATGTCTGAGCTGGGACGTGCTCACTCTTGGTCAACATGCATGCTAAGTCGCTTCAGTCGTGTCCAACTCTTTGTGACCCCATGGACTGTAGCCTGCCAGGCTCCTCTGTCCATGGGATTCTCCAGGCAAGAATACTAGAGTGGGTTGTCATGCCCTCCTCCAGGGGATCTTCCCAACCTAGGGATCGAACCTGCGTCTCTTATGTCTCCTGCATTGGCAGGTGGGTTCTTTACCACTGGCACCACCTAGGAAACCCCTCACCTCCCATGTCTGGGCTGGGACGTCCTCACTCTTGGCCAACAGTTGTGACTTACTGAGTGCAAGCCTGGGCCTGACCTGTACCAAATCTCACGAGATCTTCACAACCACCAGAGACAGATATGAGGATCCCCACCTGGGAGATGAGAAAAAAGATTTAATGGAGGGCAGAGATTGTGGATCTTGTATCAGGCTGATCCTCGGCCCGAGCCTGTCGTTCTCCATCACTATAGCCCAGATTGAGGTTTATAAAACCTAAGCACCCAGGGGGACAGTACCGGGCCCTCCCTGCAGTGCAGTGTAGAGAGTGCTGGATATAGTCTAGACCCACCCCTGTCACTGACTCACCATGTGACCATGGATAGCCACTTCCCCTTTCTAGACTTCATTTTTGCCTGTGTAAAAGTGGGTCCATGTGGATGAGACTGTGGCTGAGGCCCTCGTTGCTTTGTAATCATGAGACAGCATCAGCACTAGCCAGGGTCATGCATTAGCATGTGCACCCTGAGGCTGGGGAAGGGTGTGCCACCCCAGTCCTGGAGAGCTCACCTTCCAGGGGACGAGGCCTTTGAGCAGCTGGAGCTGACCCAGAGCACAGAGAGATGCCAGAGTCTCCCCGAGCTCACAGTCCCCGGGCAGGGAGGCTGGAGGGACAGATGGCCAGTGGCTTCGCACACAGGGAGCCCTCTCCCCATCTCACCCTTGCTTCCTGTCCTTGCAGACGCCCGCTGGCTCGCTAGACGCCCTCTGCTCTGCGCCCAGCAGTGTGGTCACCACCCAGCTCGGACCCTACGCCTTCAAGATCCCCCTGTCAATCCGCCAGAAGATATGCAACAGCCTGGATGCCCCCAACTCACGTGGCAACGACTGGCGGCTGTTGGCACAGAAGCTCTCCATGGACCGGTGAGTGTGGGGACGGTCTGCCGGGCTGGAGCCATAGCCGCCCCCCTTTCCGGTGTCCCCACGGGGCAGGCAGCCTGATAATGGTTCCTTGAAGAGCATCATGCTCAGAGTGCCAGCCCGTGAGAATCAGGTTGAGCCAGGATACCAGCCAGGTGTGATCAGCAGCAGCAGCCCTGTGCCCAGGACATCAGGTGTCCTGGAAATGCTTGCTGGGTGACAGAATACATCCTGGTGTCAGAGCTCTTCTGGAGAGCTTAAAATGCTGGATAAATATAATGGCAACAGTCATCCTCATTGGGGCTCAAAGAGGAGCAGTGTATGGCCTGGGGCCATACAACCTGCAAGCAGAGGGGCTGGGACTCAGACCCAGGATTGTGGGAGCCCAGAGCCCACAGTCCCAGTGCTCTGGGGAGGTCCTCCCAGGGGACCCTCAACCCATGGCCCCTAGGAGGGGCTGAGCGTCTGGGGAGCCCAGGGTCCTTCTCCTTCCCTCCATCAGGTACCTGAACTACTTTGCCACCAAAGCAAGCCCCACAGGTGTGATCCTGGACCTCTGGGAAGCTCTGCAGCAGGACGACGGGGACCTCAACAGCCTGGCGAGTGCCTTGGAGGAGATGGGCAAGAGCGAGATGCTGGTGGCCATGGCCACCGATGGAGAGTGCTGAGCTGGCCCGCACCTGCGGGCTGGGAGGGACCAGCAGGAGGCGGGCACAGGCAGGCCCGGGGCAGCCTCCTGGGGGGCAATTGGGCCTCCTCTGCCCCCGAGCTCACAGCCAGAATCGCCCCTCCTCCTCCTCCCCCCGCTTGCCCCACCCGCAGACCACAACCAGCCTTAGGAGATCCATGGACTTCGTTGTTGGGAGGACTCAGCTGTCCTTCTCCACCCTGTGCTGTCTCTCCTGACCTCAGACCTCTGTGCAGGAAGCGGGAGGGGCCGGGCCCTCTGGAGGCAGCTAGGGGAACAAGGAGGTGGCCCTCCCACCCTCAGCCCCAGGAACTCTCGGGGCACCTGTTTTAGTTGTGTTCTTTATTCTCTTCCTCGGTTATTGATTCTCCCTCCTCCCTCTCCGTTCACACCATTTTCCTCTTTGAAGAGTCAAGTACAATTCAGAGAAACTGCTTTCTCCTGTCCACAAGTGAAAACGAAGAGGAAAGAAAGAAAGCTTCCAACCACTAGTAAGGCTCAAAAAAAAAAAAAAAACCAAAACCACAAGAGAAAAGAAAACCCAGTTTCTTAGGAAACGCAAATGATTTATTATCCAGATATTTGGATAAGTTCTTTTTAAGAAAAAAAAGAAAATGAAAAAACAACACAAAAAAATAGAAAACGCTTTTCTTGAGTGTGGGTGTGGGCGTGCTCGCGCTTCTGGCCAGCAGCCTGTGCGTGTGTGTGTGTGTGTGAGAGAGAGAGAGAATCAGGGAGAGAGAGACTGAATAGGAAACCCTTTGCTGCTAATGATTCCATCTTAGACTAAATTCTAACAAGCCCTCAGCTTCCGCACTCCTACAGGTTCAGATGAGGTCTGAGCCGTGGTCCCGTGTTTCTGAAATCTTAAACAGATGCTGAATCAGTAAAGCCAAGGAGACCTGAAGTCTGGCGTGGGGTGGGGTCCTGCCTCCCTCTCACAGCCCCAGGCAGGTACCCCCATGGCTCCTCCAGGTTTCCCAGGAATCTAGATTAAAAGGACCTGGGATGGAAAATGTGGGTGGGCCAGCCCAGCCAGGGAGTACTATGGTCTGGGGGCTCCTGGAGAGGGGGCGTGGCCCAGAGAGGGTCCTCACAGAGAAAGGAGTCAGGAGAATCTCCTGTGGACACCTCTCTTCCCCCTCCCCTCAAGGCAGGGCCAGCTGGGACACCCCAGCCTCTAGACCAGCTGGGCTGGAGCAGGTGGGCCTTCTCTTAATGCCCAGGAATCCAGGATCTGCCCTTCCTTGCAGATTCCCTTCCATTTCTCCTTCTGTAAAACAAGGGGAGGATAAGACGGGCTCTCCTGCTTCAGAAGCCTGAGCTCCTGGGGTTGGTGCGGCTTTGAGGAACGTGTGAGCAGCCAGCCCTGTGGGCGGCGTGGGAGGCAGGGAGGCGGCTGGTCTGGCTGTGCTTTGCACACCTGCCTGGAGTGGAGGAGGAGGGGTGGAGGGCTATTTTCCCAGCTCTGATCTCCCCAGGCATCTCCCTGCAACCCTCTTCTCACTCTCCTCCTGCTGCCTGGGAGAGTCTGAAGGAAGCTTTGACCAACAGGGTGGAGGCGGGTGTGGTACCCCTTCTCCAGCCTGCCTGTTCCAGGATGTTCCGAGGGGCCATCAAGGTCCCTTTCCACCGTCTGGTGATAACTGGAACCAGACTCTTGAGCTGGCACAGAGGCCACATCAAAGGCCTCTCCTCTTGGCACCCAGGCCACAGCAAGTGCCAGCGGCACTCACCCCAGGGCTTGCCCCAGCAGGTCCAGGAGCAGCTGCTGGGACCAGCCTGGGCGTATCCTGGCCTTTGAAAGTCTGATCTCCTGGGAGAAAAGCAGGTTAGGGGGCTGTAGTCCCAGCCAGAGTCCTAAGCCTGGCGTCCCAGCCATGTACTCGGGGGCGTGTGGGGACAGTGAGATTTTCATCACCCCCCAGCCCCCTGGGGAACGGGCTGCCAGCCGGCCATCGAGGGCCTCCTGGGTTTGAGAGACGTTCCTTTTTATCAAGGCTGCTCAAGGAGCCAGGCCTGTATCAGGCTTGAGCCCCTGAGGCTGAGACCACAGCCTTTTACTTTTACCCCAGTGCCTGTGTGGATGTTGCCTCAACAAAAGCAGCGAGCCTTCCCTGCCAAAGGTGCCGTCCACCTCGGGCTCAGTCTCCCTGCCCACCCCCACCCATGTGGGCCTGGGTGGTCACATGAGGGCAGTCTGGAGTCCATGGACCAGCGTTCAAGCTCCAGCTGTGCTGAGGTCCCCTGTGTGACTTCAGGAGTGTGACTGCCTTCTCAAGGCCTCTTTCCTTTTTAGACCTAGAAGCCTCCACAACTGCTGTCTGAGGCCCTTTGGTCTCTGATGCATCATTTTAGGCTTCTAAGGTGAACCCTGGTGGGTTGAAGTTGACTGTGGTCTGCCATGGCCCTTCTCCCGGCCCCTACTTCCCTGTCCCTCCTCCCTCCCTGTCTCTCCTTCTCCTCCCTGTCCCTCCTTCCCTGCCCCTCCTCCCTCCCTCCCTCCCTCCCCTCCATCCTCCCTGTCCCTCCTCTCCCCCTTCCCTCCATCCTCCCTGCCCCTCTTCCCTCCCTTGCCTCCTCCCCCCCTTCCCTCCATCCTCACTGCCCCTCCTCCCTCCCTTCCCTCCATCCTCCCTGCCCCACCTCCATCCTCCTTCCCTGTCCCTCCTCCCTTCCCTCCTCCCCCCCTGCCCCTCCTCCCTGCCCCACCCTGAGAAACCTGCTTCCTTAGCGCCCAGGAGCTCTTGTTAGATGAGGCCAGGCCAGCCACCCAGGTGCCATTTCTGACCTGATTTCCAGAAATTGTGTACCAGGGCCTGGAGCACAGAACCAATTGGCTAAAGCCTCCTGGGAGGGCTCAAACTGTCCAGCTTTATAAGAAAAGCCTGGAAAGGATTTGCTGGCTCCATCAATCTGCTTGGGCCACTGTGACTGTGTCTGCAGACTGCCTGCCTCAGGGTGGCATGGAGGTTTCTCAGCTTATTCAGGCCTGAGAGGCAGCCCCACACAGCCCGAGTACCTTGAGAGCCACAGATTAAGTGCCACTGCAGGGCCTAGCGCTGTGTTGACGTCTCTCTCGTCTCTGGGGTGTGTTTGCACATCTGTGCGTGTATGCATGTGCTTTTATCTGTGGGCACATCAGCGTGCCTCTCCGGGAACATGTCCCCACCTGTGTGTGCGTGTGTGCCCTCCTCGAGTCCACGCTGGGCCGCCTGGAGGTTGCCTCTGAGTACACAGGGTCAGTCGGTGTCTCTTCTACGTGCCTGTCCCTCTGCCTTCTCCCGTAGGGTTCTGGGCTCCAGAGGGGCCCTCCTCCCCTCTCCTGGATGTTCCAAGGCCCTCTGGTCTCCTTCCCCCAGCAACCAGGCAGCTGAGCCAGTTCCCTTAACAGGCCCTCTGGGGAGAGGTGACCAGGAGCCTGGGTGCAGGGAGCAGCTCTCCTGCGGGCCAAGGGCTGTACCACCCGCCTGGGCAGTGGACATGGTTATATGCCCAAGGGCTGCCGGGCTGGCCCCAGTCCCACCTCTGTTTATTCTGTACTACAACCTGTAAATAACATTTAGCATTCCTATTGTAACAAAATTAATTTTTATGAAATAAATTATATTTCCTAGTCTAATAAAAAATTCAGGTTGTAGTCTGCTGTCTTTTTGACTGCCTTTCTGTCAGCAGTTGGGAATGATCTTCCTGCTCGTCTCAAAATTTCATGAGTTTGGGGACAAGGGCTCATTGCCAGAGCTCTCTGAGCTCCTGGAAGTGATCAAGTGCAACTGCCTAATTTCATACAAGGGAAAAGTGGCCCAGAGAGGACTGAGAACTTCCCCGTTGGCCACGCAGCAAGCTGGAGCCCATGCTGACTCTGACCACATCCCTGCTCCCCAGCCAGTGCTCTCACTGTGTAAGCATTTGTGGGATGTGTTCAGGGTCAGTAATTTGAGCCTGTCATGGGCTAGGTGATGAGTGAGAGGAACAACAGAGGTGAAGCCCTCAGCGTCCTTGTCTGCCTGTGAGACATTCAGAAGCATGTTTCCCAGCTGGGGCCGAGGCTGAGGTCGGCTGAGAGCACTCACCTGAGACAAAATCATGCCAGCAGAAAGGGAATGATGGGCAGGCTGGACTTGTGACTTTGGGCCCATGGGTGCCATGATGGTTGGGCAGGTTACATACTGAACAAGAAAGCCATATCTAAGGGGGGAAGGTGGTGCCTTTCCCACTCAGATTGAAGATTTGTGTATTTATTATACTATGAGATATTTCCAGCAGAGGTCTGTAAAGGGCCTTGTTCTAATAACATCAATCTGTTGGTGTTAATTTTCCTATAGATGAAAATGTCTTGAGGGAATTTTTTTTCTAATTTACAGCAAGGCACCATACAATCATAGCTGCCCTGTAGACTTCAGCTCTCCCTGTGTGAGTTGAGTCTCGTCCCAGCATTTTCCAGAACGCATTGCCTATTCTGCAGATGAATTCTGCAATCTCTAAATTCTGGGGTAAGAGCACCCTCTGGCTTCGTGGTAGAGAGTCGTAGCACATTAAAGGCCCTGAGAAGGCCTGTGTGAAGATGCTGGTCTCATAATAGAGGGTGTACCACATGTATTTGGCCATGGGATACATTTTATGTTTATATTTAAATTTTTTATTGCAGTATAGTTGGTTTACAATGTTGTGTTTCAGGTATACAGCAAAGTGAATAAGTTATACATATATCCATTCTTTTTCAGAATCTTTTCCTCCACAGGTCATTATAGAGTATTGAGTGGAGTTCCCTGTGCTATACAGTAGGTCTTTATTTATTATCTATTGTGGGACCCTTTTCTAAACTTTTCATGCCCTGAAAAGTCCTGACAGCTCTGACTTGCAGGGACCTGTGGCTCTGGGGTGTGTGCCAAGGATGGCCTGGCTGTCCCCCTGGGGATAGGGAGCACCTGTGGGCTGGGTCCCCTGGGAGCTTATGGCCTAGTGGGGAAGGCGGGATAAACAAGGCACATATACATACACGTACATAGACCTACGACTCAGACTGTCTTCCTTTCCTGGAGTCCAGGAGTACTTAGAGCCATCATATGTGTCTGTGTGTGTACAAAAGGAAAGAGGATATAGCCTGAGGTGGGCAGCAGTCCAGGGAGGGGGTGGGAAGTAGCCTCCATAGGCAGTTAGGTTATCTGTGGTCCACCCAGGAGCACCCATTTAAAACCCCTAAATCTATCCCATCACTAAGCAGGAAAGCCTTGATTGCCACCTGCTCCTTGGTGGGGTGCAAGAGTTCCAGCCTGGGAGACAGGAGACCTGGATTCTGGTCCTGATGTTGTGGGGGTCACTTTTCCTTCCCAAGCCTCAGTTTCCCCATCCATGAAATGGCAGCCTTAGACCTGTTGCTCTGTAAGCTTCCTTCAGCTGGTGTGGTTCTGTAATTGGGGGAAGGGAGGTGACAGCCCCACTCCTTGGACCCTCCTCTGTCGCTGTCCCAGGGCAGATGATGGAAAACCAAGGGCAGGCAGAAGATGGGCCAGTTCTGCCCTTGTAACTGGGTAGCCTTGTGAGATGCCCTAGAGCAGAGCAGCAAGGTGGCAAGGCTGAGGCACATGCCAGCCAGCCTGGCACAGGCACGATCTTCAGGCCACCGGCTGTTGCCCTGGAAGGGTTGCTGGGTTCGGGTTTCGCCAGTTGCCCCTTGCTTCATTAGGGGCCAGAAGGAGAGAAAGTCCATTCCAACCCCAGCTGACAGCTTAAGATCAGACTCACAAAGACTTCATCCATTTCTGTTTGGCAAATTTTTGAAACTTTGCCCATTTTAACTCAAAATGCTATAATGCCTATGGTTTAAAAATTCAGGTACAAAAGAATAAGTGAAAAGTAGATACTCTACCTCCTGCTGTCTCACCCCTCCCCTGCCACCCTCCCCATTCCCAGTCCTCCCCCCATAGAGGCAATTGTTACTTTTCTTACATATCCCCTCAGGAAGATCTATGCATATGCACACATATATTTGTACATGTAAATATTTAAATATAATGGGTTTGATCCAAGAGTCTCAACCCCTCAAGGTATAAGTATGAACTAGTTTTATTTTTCCAATAACTGCTCAGATATTCATTTTGTTGACACCATCTTTCCCGCTGGATAGCAAACTCCCTTAACGATGTCTCCACGGAGGTCCCTAACTTTTCTCTCCCTTGCAGTTATTAAGACAGATTAATTTTGGTTGCTAAGGCTCAATCGATCCATCTTGGAACGCCAACCACGTTTAACTAAGTCCCTGGGAGCGCCCTCTACAGGTCACTGGGGGCGGTGCTGCCAGCTCTCTGCACCTCCCCCGTGCCCTCTCCCTCTACTGCCTCTGCCAACCACTACCAGCTGCCAACTTCCGGATATCTTCCTCTCAGCCTCCACCCTTGTCACTTCATCTGAAAAGCTGGCATCAAACCGGTTGCCGCCTCCTGCACCAGGTACACGAATCTCACACCAAAACCTCAGCCTTCTCCAAATGGACGCGGGGGAGTCTAGGGACCGTTCCCGACAGGTTGCCGTTTCTAACCATGATCCCTGCCCTGGACCATCGTTACAGGCACAGGAGATGAGGAACCGCCAGGACATGATACTTCAAAACACAAACTGGTCGGGCAGGGCGTGTCCCCGTGCTGCTGCACATCTCACTGGGCACAGGGCCCATCACTGCTGGGTACCAGGTCCGGGCAGCACACACTGCCCTCAGAGCCATGGCCGAGGGGGAAGACAGGGAAACAGATGGGCAAGGGGACCACAGAAGCTCCAACTAAGCCTGGGGG